GTGGGAAATTTCACGATAACCTGGCATTTTCACAAACTCAGCCACCCTTCGGTCCACATTAGGCCGAGTTTTCAAGGCTCTACTGTAATGGTATTATATCTAATTAAATTTATCAAGAGATGACACTTAACACCTATCTCTAGTCCAAAATACTTGACTTTTAATTAATAATTAGTAGAATTATTATAACCAGATGTAATCCAGCAATCGTCTGACAATAAACTAAAAATCAGGTTATTGAATGTTTATATTTGTATATTGTTTATATAGTTATTCTAATGTTTTGGATACCTATTTATTGAAGCTTATATGGAAACAAACATTGCTTTGTTGAAATAATTTTCCCAAAACATTAAAATGTCTTTAAAATCATTTTATTTTTTAGTATAGTATTTAAAATGTCCACTCAGACTTATTTTATTAACAGGACGTATTATATCGACGTCTTTGTTCAGCAAAAGTTAAGAAAGCCTATCAGAGAAAACAAACACAGTCTGTTTTCTCTGGTGAAAAATAGGCTGATATGTTTTCTGATAGGCTTTCTTAACTTTTGCTGAACAAAGACATCGATATAATACATCCTGTTAATAAGTCTGAGTAGACATTTTAAATACTATACTATAAGATAAGGACATAGAGGCATATGACTTAATACATTTTATTTTTTGTTGTGTTACAAAATGTTTACATAATTAAATGTGACAGGGTATCTTGTTTTTGTTGAAGTATTATGCTTATTCAAGAGATATGAAGTGCTACTAGATCTGTTCAACATCTACTTATTAATGGAATATATTATTATTCGTGTCATAAACATTTTCAAGCCAATATCTGTTTAAAGTAAGTTTAATGCATTTTACACTTAGTTTATGATGTTTTAGCTTAAATAGTAATTAATAGCATCTGACCCCAACATATCAACCAATAAATACTTGCAACTAACTTACAATTGCAAGTGTTTCTAAAACTTCATCCACAATCTATATAAATAAAAATGTAAATGTTCGTTTGTTCAAAACCTTAAATCTCTGAAAGTTCTTCACCGATTGTTTTGAAATTTTGACCCAACATTGCATTCGAATACATGAGTTTTTATATACCTACTATTATATAGATGTCAAATTCACCCCATGGGGGAGAGGGATATGATTAAGGCTTACCGTGAAGAACTCAGCTTCTATTATACTATTTTAGATGCAGTTTTTTGCGTTTTAATAGGGTAAGTCAAGAGAATGTATACTAAAAAGGTTTTTTTCAAAATTTCCCTCACGGGAGACGTGTTAATAATGGAAGTGTTAGGATAAAGTGATGTGCAAGATTTACAGGCGCAGATGCGGTTTTTTGCGGAAAATCGAACATATTTTTAGATCCATCTAAAAATTTTCTAATTAGTTGGAAACAGGGGGAACTAATTCTTGCATTCTGTGAGAATGGGTAAGATTGACTATAATGTAATAATCTTAATCTTCGCTATTGTTAAATTTTTTGCCCAAGCAATGCCAGGCTTATCTGCTAGTATAAAATATAATAATTTGTGTAATATACATATACATAAAAACTAACTATCCTCACCAGGAACAGTATTCTTATCTCTAAAACAAACGCAATAAAATTCTATTAAATAAAAATTCTGAATACCATACTTGATTTTGAGTAACAAATACCAGCTGCCCAAATTTCAATTTCTCTTGGTTACTCAAAATTAACTTTTTGAACATTTAATCAAATTAATTGTTTTAATCTAATAATATATTACATAATATAAGTACACTTACTTGATTATAAGAATATTGATCAGACGTATGATTATAATCATAAGTTTGGGGAGGAATTGTTGGTGTAGAAGCCATGTGACCATATTCAAAAGTTTCCTTTCCAGGGGTAGAATTCTGAATTGTTCCAGGTGGTGGTACCCATCCTCCCATCCCCCAAGATCCTTCCCAATATCCCCCCATCATATCTCCTTGAACAAAATTTGGATCTAGAAAAAAATATTTTAATATTAAATGTAATTACGAAAGCAAAATTTTATTCAATCAATATTTAAACTACAGAGACAACATGAAAGTTTCTTACAGGCTGTTTATTACATAAACCAGGGCTTCTTAAACTTTTTTTATTCACGACCCCATTTATGATTGTTATTTATTTCGCACCCCCCCATATAAAATAAAGATATATATAAATTTGCAAAAACAATAATGGTGTACTACCACAGTTCACTCTTGTGTTACAATGGAACAGAGACAACTGAATACACTGAAAAGCAACAACACTACACTAGTTCACACTAGTGTATCTGAATTGTTGTCTCGCTGCACCAGAAGTGACACAAAGCGCAACTCACAAAACCTATGACACAAAGCGTGCCATTTTCAAACTCTCACAAATTACTTTCAATATTTTGCATTAAAATTTCATGACCCCAAGATTTCGCTAAGCGACCCCAAATGGGGTCGTGATCCATAGTTTAAGAAGCCCTGATATAAACAAACAAACAGGCAGATTTCTTTATTGTGCAATTAAGGCAAAATAATCATTAAGTAAATTAAAGCAAAACAACTGCTGAGATTAATTAAATTACCAATAAAGGTATCTGGCTGTTTGTTTCATATTTGAAGTAATCATCAGGTTGGTTGTATTTATTGTATAAACTGCTTAAGTTTAAAAAACAAAACAATAATAATAATGTTCAATTCTTAAACTTTTCTCTATTACTGAATCATTCCAACAATTTTATAATTTAAACACATTTCTGCTTTTATGGAGTATTTTGACACGAAACATCTCTTCATTTAGTACGTTCAAACCACTTGGTTTGTCTTCAGAGCAATCATTCTAACATTTCTAACACCTTTTCTCATGTGAAAAAGATTTGTAATGCAATTTTGGAAGAAATAACATTTTCAAATAATAAAAACTAATATATTTCAGTAAGAGTTAATAAGATAAGTGTCAAAGTATTAACAGAAGTTACTTAAAAACTTCAATATCAAAAAATATGAACACAGAAAGCTCCAAAAAACTTTGGGTTCTGAGAAAATCTATTAAAAATTCTCTTAAACTCTAGAAGCAAACATGTTAGATACTTTACTGATTTTCTTACAAAAATTTATAATATAGGCTAGATTCCAGCAGACTTATAAATCCAATATTCATAACACTTGAAAGAAAGAAAACAAAAATAATAGCCAATGATTGCAATGATTATAGACAAGTTTGAAGAATTATATAAACACAGCACCTTTAAAAAGAACTAGAAACAAAATTGATATTGTAAACATTCAAATGGGATTTCAAAAAAATAAGAGAATTAAAGCAGACATCTTTGATGCAAACAGAATCATAAAGAAATTTAAAATTAAAAAGAAATTTATTTGTACTTCTTATAAACTGTTTTTGACGTCATAGGTCAACAAACACTTTTCGTTTATACTAGAAAGGAAAAGGACAATAGCAGCTCTAATGCCCTTAGATTAATTGAAAACTTATATAAAAACTAACAGTAAGTTTCATAAGAAACAAGAAATTAATCAACCTTTCCATATTGGAATGAGAGTTGGGCAAAATTGCCTTATATTACTCCTGTTATTCAATTTGTACAATGAAGATATATTTAAAAATCTGATAAATACAAAAAATATAATAAGAATCATCATCATCTGAATATCTGAAATTAGTTACATGTAAATTAAATTAATGAAATTAGTTACATGTAGTTACATGTTTTTCTCATAGGAAAAAACTAGAGAAAAAAATTACAAAAACTTTTAAATGAATATTAAAAGTCTAATCTCTCCAAATCTTTATAATCTACCTTTTTCTGCTTTCTTGGAGACCATCAGAGTATCTTCTCTAAACCCAAGTACTTTCAGGTCTCTCAGCCCATCATCAGGGGTAAAGATTGCTGTAAAAAGTTGTAATATTGAATTTATCAGCAACTGTTTTTAAAATTCATATTGCCTTTAAGCCAGCAGAACATTAAAATTAAAAATTAACAAATATTTGTAGTTGCAATTTATCAGCCATCCTCAGGTTCAAATACAGGAATAAAACAAACAGTTTTATTCTAAACATTCAACTTTCATAATTATATGCAGTTTTAAAAATTTATTTTTAAAGGCTAGTTTGGGAGAAATAACATTTTCAAATAATAAAAACTGATATATTTCAGTAAGAGTTAATAAGATAAGTGTCAAAGTATTAACAGAAGTTACTTAAAAACTTCAATATCAAAAAATATGAACACAGAAAGCTCCAAAAAACTTTGGGTTCTAAGAAAATCTATTAAAAAATGCTCTTAAATTCTAGAAGCGAACATGTTAGATACTTTAGTGATTTTCTTAGAAAAAATTTATAATATAGGCTAGATTCCAGCAGACTTATAAATCCAATATTCATAACACTTGAAAGAAAGAAAACAAAAATAATAGCAAATGATTGTAATGATTATAGACAACTTTGAGGAATTATACAAACACAGTACCTTTAAAAATAACTAAAAACAAAATTGATATTGTAAACATTCAAATTGGATTTCAAAGAGATAAGAGAATTAAAGCAAGCATCTTTGATGCAAACAGAATCATAAAGAAATTTATTTGTACTTCTTATAAACTAATGTTTTTGATGTCATAAGTCAACAAACACTTTTTGTTTATACTAGAAAAAAAAAGACAATAGCAGCTATAATGCCCTAAGATTAATTGAAAACTTACATAAAAACTAATAGTAAGCTTCATAAGAAACAAGAAATTAACCTTTCCATATTGGAATGAGAGTTGGGCAAAATTGATTTATATTACTCCTGTTATTCAATTTGTACAATGAAGATATATTTAAAAATCTGATAAATACAAAAATATAATAAGAATCATCATTATCTGAATATCTGAAATTAGTTACACGTAACTCATAGGAAAAAACTAGAGAAAAAATTACAAAAACTTTTAAATGAATATTAAAAGTCTAATCTCTCCAAATCTTTATAATCTACCTTTTTCTGCTTTCTTGGAGACCATCAGAGTATCTTCTCTAAACCCAAGTACTTTCAGGTCTCTCAGCCCATCATCAGGGGTAAAGATTGCTGTAAAAAGTTGTAATATTGAATTTATCAGCAACTGTTTTTAAAATTCATATTGCCTTTAAGCCAGTAGAACATTAAAATTAAAAATTAACAAATATTTGTAGTTGCAATTTATCAGCCATCCTCAGGTTCAAATACAGGAATAAAACAAACAGTTTTATTCTAAACATTCAACTTTCATAATTATATGCAGTTTTAAAAATTTATGTCATTGTCTTGGAACAATATAAATTTTAAAAAAAGAGATAAAAGCATTCCAACATAATCTGAAATTAAATAATATAACCTTTGCTCATTGGCAAAAACCATGTATCTTTTGTATAAAGAATAAAGAATAATAATTATCATTGAACAGTCAATTTATTTACACATCTTTGTCAGCTTACAATGAATAATAGAAAAATTGCAAAGGTTAAGGAAAGTTTCCTGAAAAACAAAACTCTGTAGTTCTGGGGAAATTAAAATGCAAATCAGGTTAAGATTAATAAAATTCTTTAACATGATCAACAGCTCTGTATGACATGGAAACTTAAATCATTGGCAAAAATATGGCAACTGGACTCAATTTGTGATAAAGCTAACTAGAAAGTTGCCAAAGATTTATTCTAATTTAATCTAAAATTTCTGGAAGAAAAGAACTGGCATAGAGCAAGACTTAAACCTGCAAACCCATTTACAGTGCAGAAACATACACAGTGCCGAGGTAAAAGCAATAGTGTAGCCAAGAACCAAGGAGGACCACGGGCACTAAAGTCATTCCAGTTGGCACCATGAGTGACCAGTATGGTTATATTTAAATTAACAGTTCTGGTAGCAAATGCATCTGCACAGTATGCAGGATTACAGATTCAAGTCCCCCTCTGAACCAACTCTTTTTTTTCCATTAATTTTAAATTAAATAAATAATTAAAAATTAATTAATTATAATTATTAAAATTGTCATGAGATGGAAACCTAACAGCCTACCTCTAGTCAAATTATAAATAACTATTAAAAATAGGGTTTATAGATTTATTTATATACACCGAATGATTGGTGGATTACATTGGGCTATAATAATGCTTCTAATTATTAATTAAAAATCGAGTAATTTGGCCTACAGGTCTTCATAAATTTAATAATTATAATTAAATTAATACTTAATAATTAATTTAGAAAATTCTAGAAGAAAAGAATCGGCCCAAAGAGAGACTCGAGCCCACAACTCCCACTTGCTGTGTAGATGCATTGTCAGTTACAGTATCTGGACCTCCATCCAATTGTTGTTTCCAAAACTATTAATTTAGATATAATCACACTGATTATACGACAGTTGAGGGTTCGAGTTCCACTTCAGATCAATTCTTTTCTTCTAGAACCTTCTAAATTGATTATTAAATTTATCAAAAGATGGCATCTAACACCTATCTTTTGGCCAAATTACTTGACTTTTAATTAATAATTAGTAGCATTATTATAGTCTGATGTAATCCAGCAATCGTCTGACAATAAACTAAAAATCAGGTTATTGAATGTTCATATTTGTATATTGTTTATATAGTTATTCTAACGTTTTGGATACCTACTTATTTAATCTTATATGGAAACAAACATTGCTATGTTGAAACAATAATTTTAATGTCTTTGTTGATATGTGTACAGCTTAACTGTAATGTTAACTTAAAAGTGATAATATTGACATCAGAATTAATTATATTATCTTGCAATATGATATCCACCAACCTACTATCTAAAGCAGTGTTTCTCAACCTCTAACAAATCGTCGCCCCTTCAATAAAACCATTACGTAGTATCGCCCCCTTCACTACAAAATTTCGATGCCGAGGGACAAGGCTAACGCCAAATTCGTACTGCATTGACTAGACTAGTGACTAGGGTAATGTTATTTGTTTAATTATTGTACGATATAACAAATAAAATATCTAATTATTCTTAATATAATGTTTTACTATATCGCCCAGAAAATTGTTTTTTGCCCCCCAAAATATAAATTGTTACTAATCGCCCCCCTGAACATGGAAAAACGCACACATGGAGGCGATATCGCCCCCGTTGAGAAACACTGATTTAAAGTATCCCAGATGACAGCACTAACTGTAGGCAATACTCTTCTCTAACTGCACCTACAAGTAAAGTAAGTGGAAACAATTTTGTTCCTGTGTTCCTGTACAATTTGTTCTCAACGGCAACCTTGTGCTAATTCCAAAGGAAATACATATAATCAAGAGAACAGCAATAACCAAATTCTAAATAAATAAACCTTAAAAATCTTTAAATGAAGTCTTTTTATTACAGCATCTAACAGTTTCAGTCAGTTAATTGATCTTTTTCAGGAAAGAATTGAAAAAAATTCTGATTTTTTACAGAACAAAATCGATATGAAACGTTTTTAAGCTTTAAAACTTTCTTAACATCTAGTGTGCAAGTCCACGAATAGATAATTAAAATACATGAACTGATAATGTACTGTACAAACATATGAATACACTAACCATAAAAACATAAAATAAAATTAATTAAATAAACAATCAAGTGATAACGGGCAACGACTGTGCCTATTTCTTTGCTGTCCATGCCTTTTTTCTTGCTGATATATTCATATTGCACCTGCTCTCCATACCAGTGAGACTTTATAGGATTCTTTAAAGTTTATAGCTTGTTCTACTTGATTGCTCTTGTGTATATGCCATGCTTCTATATATTTAAGGTGCCTCCTGTCCTGAATCTTTTGTATTATTTCTGCTCTTTTCCATTCCAGAAACATGTCAGGTTTGCTATAACATACCCCGCTAGTACAGTGACTGGCTGCTCATTCTGTATGTTCCTTTATGCCCTTTTATTCTTTATTTTAATGACCTCCTTGAAGCTCCAATGTAGTACAGCTCTTTTTGCCAAGTACAGGTATTCTATAAATTCCAGGAATAAGGCTCTTGTCTATAGCTTCCTTGTCCATACATAGCATCTGATATATTGTTGGATTCCTTTTAAAGATTACCTTTTTGTTAGTAGCTGTTCCTATATCTTTGTAAATATTGCTTAAGGGTGTCATGTATTCCATCACTGTATATTCTTCTATTCTTCCCTGTTCATTACCTTCATTTTCGTCTTTTCTTCTTTTATTAATTAAGGCCTTTACTGTATTCTGATTGACTCTGAATCGCCATGCTAATCTTTGATGTGATTTAATTCTTTACATCTGTCCTGCACTTTGCTGCAATGTGTGTATGCTCTCTTTATAAGCACTGAAAGCTGCCAGTTTATAACTTGCTGGGTTGTGGGAGGTCCGTGGTATTATCAACAGGTTATAAATCAGTTTTCTGTAAACTTTAGTAGTGATTTCCCCTCCTTTCTCTACTTTTATTAATACAACTAGGGAGTGTATCTTTTTATCTTGTTCTAGCTCGAGCTCTAGGTCAAACTTGTTAGAATTGACATCTCTGAGAAATTGCTGTATATCTGGTTTTTCTTTCCATATAATCAAGACGTCATCGACATAGTGTGCATATACTAACATATGAACTTCATATTTCTATACGATAAAATTCTCTAATGTAATCAAGACCATCTCACAATGTCCTGGATATAGGACTTTCCATTGCCACTCCTCTATGTTGAGTATATGTTATATTGTTAAAATGAAAGACAGATGAATATGTAGCTAGATGTGCCAATTCCAGTATATTGCTTTCTTAGCTTTTCAGCATTTCCGATCTTGTTCAATAAGAAGTCTTGCAGATGGCAAAAACATGGCTCTAGTTTGAATGAGGGGTATAAAGCCTTAAAGTCTGATACTGTTATATAACCTTCTAATTTTAATTTCAAATTTTTCATTTTTTTGGAGCAACTCTAGCAGATGTTTTATGCTGTGTTCATGTGGAGACATGTGTGCATTAATAAAACCTTTGAGAAACCTGTTCTAGGATTATTGTAGGTGAGCAGCATTCATCAGCTACCGGCCTTATGCTTCTTTCTGGTATATGTGTATCGGCAAACCCAAACAGTCTTTGAGCTGATGGGGAGGGGACTACTATCTTTTTCATTCAGAATTCTTTTGCAAGGGTCATGTTAAAAACACATTTGACTCTTGCTTGCAACTGCTCTAGAGCCCTTGGGTGTGCAGTCTTGCATTGTGTTTCTTTTATGTATCTTAATAAAAGCTCATTATACGTAGATCTTTTTGTTAACACCATGTCCTTCGACTTGTCGATTCTTGTAAGCACTGTATTATTTTCGTTCATCCACTTTTGGCTTTCTCTTATATTTTTCCATATTGAGCGGCAGCTTGCTCTTGTATATTCATCCTTTATTTTGAATGCCGTTTTCCATCTGAATGTCTCTTTCTTAAGTTTGCTTAGCCCTTCTATTGCTTGTTCTACCTCAGGGATGATCTTTTCATATGCGAGTTTAGGCTGTGATATGTATTTATGGCCAAATTTGCAGGCCTCATTGATGCATGGTGGTGGTGTAATGTTCCAGCATACAATTGAGGAGATGGCCTGTGGTTTTATGCTACTCTGTTGTTGGTTTCTTATCCATTCCATTTTCTTCTTATAATTCTTACATATCCTTTTTGTCACTTGATTTGATAAGTTTACCAACCTGTTATTAACATCTTGTAAATTTGGATCTATTTCATACAGCTTGTTTTCTAATTCAATCAGTTTTTTCAGCAAATAATATTTTCTGTGGCATAATATATGAGCCAAAGTATGAAATATTAAAATATTTCATACTTCGCTCATATTCTTTTTATTTAAAATAAAATGTAATACTATGATAATACTAAGAATGTAAAATGTAATAGTAAGAATGTAATACTATAAGACAAAAGACAAACATGTATATGTAAATAAACATTCAATTTTAAATATCACAAAAACAATAATGTAAAGTAAGTTGCTATTTTAAATTTCTTCAGAGTAATTAGGGAAAAAAATAAACTGGAAAAAGCCCTTTAGTGAGTAATTTCTAAAAAAAAGTTGAGAAACATCATGCTAGAATAAGAAATATTTCAATTTAAAAAATTTTAAAATACAGGAAGTTCCTGAAGTCAATTAACTGAGATAAAATTTTCAAGATTATTTAAGAATATATAAAATTAACTTGAAAGAGCTACAAACTATTATTCATAATTCAGTTGCTTCTAATGAAACAACTGAATTACAAATAACAACATGCAATAATCTTATCTGCTTTTAAAGTAATTTTAAAATGTATCTTGGTTAACTGACTTTATGGCCACCTCATATACTTTTAAAAAGACTTACTCGCTCCCGGAGGAGCAACCGGACCCGAATCTTCGTTTCCTTCGACGGCCGGTATCGGCACGTGACCGGGTGGCGGCAAGTGAACCAGAGGTAGTTCACAACTTTGAGATTCGGGATTACCATTTTGAGGATTTTCTAATAATGGCGGAGGAGGCGGCGGTGGAGGAGGAGGAGCCACAGGTGGTTCATTTTGATTTCTCTGCTGCATTTGAATCCATTGCTTTGCTAGAGCTGCCCAATCAACTATAATAATAAAAATAAACATTAAATATTTTTAAATTATTTATTTGCATTAACCTGTCCCATGTTGTTCCCGAGTATTTTCGTGTCGAACTCATTTGACTTAACCCGTTGACCCCGAATATACTCGTTTCTGCATCGGAAAATTTTTGATATTAGATGTTGCTACGCATCATAATTTTTATATTAAAACAAACTTTTGAAATCAAATTTTTTGTTTTTATATTTTTCAATATATTTATTTTGTTTGTGCAAAATAAAAAAATAATTTGTAACGATACAGTGGCCACAATTATTATTTAAAAAAAAATTTTTCGTTGGGCTTAACATCGACAAAAATTCAATACGGCAGCCATACGCAATGGAGAAAAATTTCAACACGGGATAGGTTAATACAGTAGCATGTATATACAGTATTAAACAAACACTTACTTTGTTCATGTGGAACATTTTGGTAAGTAGCTGGTTGTAATGCCCACTGATTCCAAGCTGCTCCTGCCCACATAATTTTCCTAAAATTCTTAATATTATCTAAAAAATAAATTATACAAAAATAAAATTAATTGTACTATACTTAAATCTTTTTTTATTATTAAAATTACATAATCAGGTAAATTATAATAATAAACACTTTGCTAAATCAATCTGGAACAGTTTTTAATTGTTTCAAATCCAGAAACTATTACAAGAAATCAAAATATTTCAAACAAAACAGGAATATATCAGAGACAATCAGCTACAGAGTATCAATTCTGAATACATGATAAATGAACTACAAAAAGATATTTGTTAAAAGATTACTGATAAACCTGCAATCTACCTTATGTTGTTTGGCCCTTATATAAGTTTGCCTTATTTTTGGTTAACAAATAGAGACTGTGTATAAAGCAACAATTAAACACATTCACAATCTTTTAACATATCACAATTGAAAGGCATAAAATATCACACTGGACCGCACTCTTTTTTATGGACAAAATAGCACAAAAATTATGGCTATTTAATATAATTTTATCTTCATTGTTTAAAAACATTTTTTTCTAGATTTTTAGGCATGTTGCAATTCTGCAACACATGGCCTGAATGGTTTTTTTCTAATCATGTTATGCTATCTTGTATTCTCACATTAAATTTCTATCAGCATTCTATCATGAGAAAAATTTACTGGGCCAAGTGCAATTTCCATTTCCACAGGCCATGCTCTAATTGTTTCCATTATGTTTATATGGCTGGAGTGTTGTTCCGAATAACACAGTACAGAATTACTACTTACATAGTTTTCTCCACAAATTTCACAGAGTGGTCTTCTTCACACCATTCTACACCAAAGTGGCAGTGTAAATAGTGTCCTTTATGTTGAATCGTTCCTGAAATTCAACAACTCCACAATCATTGCTTACCAACTTACAAAGAAAATACCCCTGTATGTCACTTTAAAATTCTGTATGATGCCCTGATCCATAAATTGTATCAAAGACATCATATTTGCAGGAAAGTACATTGCAGAAATGTTTCTGCAAATAAGCTTGAAAGCTAGAGGATGAGCATGATAGTTATCAAGCAGGAGAATAATTTTGCTGTCTTCTGGTAGCCCCTCCTTGTTAAAATCTTCTAACAGCAGGAACAAAGTGATGGAAGAACCAATTCTTTAAGATAGCTGCTGACTCCAACTGTTAGTTTGTGCATCATATGTAACTGGTAGATTTGTCGTTTTTAAAAGCCCTTGGTTTCTTTGATTTTCTGATCATAAGCATTGGCATATTATGTGTTCCAAAAGCAGTTGCACACACAAGCACAGTGGTAGAATCTTTGTTAATTTTAAACCCACAAGCAACCTTTTCATTACCACCAACCAGCATAGAATTTGGCACACACAGTCACAAAAGTTTGGTTTCATCCGCATTGTAAAGTTGAGATGGTGACAAGCCATTTTCTTCCACTAAAGTCAAACATCTTGCTGTATTTAATATTTATCTTGTATACTAGTTCTTTATCAATTAACAGGACTTATTATACTGGATTTACAGATGCAGAAATTTAGTCTTACAGATCAGAAATAATATTTTTTATTTAGTTCACTAGTTCCTTATCCATTAACAGGACTTATTATACTGGATTTATGGATGCAGAAATTTAGTCTTACAGATCAGAAATAATATATTTTATTTAGTTCACCTGTACACATACACTTTAAACTTGTATTTCGGACTTGTTTGTCCTTCATCAGCAGGCATTCAAAATACACTTTCTACAATTAACAAATTAAATTAAACATAAAAATTTTTCCCGACAATAAAAAAATAAAATTCTTACAAATTCAGTATTTTCAAACTCTTTCATAATTCCAAATATATTTGTAATCTACTACTAGTATACAAGATAAATATTAAATTAAGATATAGGACACAAAGATATAATAATTAATCTTGCTGTATTCTTCTGCAGCAGCACAATCTGCAGAAAGCTGTTTGCCACATACATCCAATTTTCAAATTCCGTGACTCTGTTTGAAATTGCATATCCATCCATCAAAAAACATACATGGTTCTGTGATGTTCAATTTTTTATGAAGTTTCTTGGCTTTTTTCAACAAGCATGAGTGTTCACTGGTTCTCCCAGTACAGGAGTATGGAAAAATACACAAACCTTCTCTGGAAACTTGTGGATAATGTCTGTTTGAATGTTTATCAAATAATTTATATAGTAAATTTTTATGTTTTAGTGTCTTGTAAATATAGGTCCAGTATGAAAAATTCTTTTAAATTGCCAAATCTGATATAATTAATATACACTTTTACCACCAGAGAGACCTAATTGCAAATGGTGGCATAATTTGAAACTGTGATATTTTGTGTTAATAACATCCAAATTTAACTATCTTCCATCATATATAGCAAGTGATGGAGGAATGAGTAAAGAAATCCAGCACAGAGTTCAGAGTGAATGGCTGAACTAGAGAAAGATGAGTGGGGTGCTGTGTAATAAGAAAATAAATGAAAGGAAAATTATACAAAACTATAGCAAGACCTGTAATAATGTATAGTGCTGAGATGTGGGCAATTACAAGAGTGCAGGAAAAGATGGGAGAAAGTAAAGTTGAAAATGCTAAGACTAAAGGCTGCTATACACGATGGGCTAATCCTCAAAGGAGTAACCATGCATGCCTGATTTTGAGTCATTCCTGGAAGTGTGTGGGGGAAAATTTAACAGTTTCGGCGAGCTGTACCGACCACCGGAGTAGAATCGGCCATAATCGTTAGGTTAATCCTCAAAGGAGTAATCATGCATGCCTGACCTTTATAATTCTTGGTAGTTTATGGGGGAAATTTAACAGTTTTGGCGGACTGTACCGACCACCGGAGTAGAATTGAAAAACCATTTGATTTTCCTGGCGCAGTGTCAGACTGCTCAGGCCGACCTAAACGTGTGTGAGAACAATGTCTCGTGAATGTTTGGAAGAATTATTTTCTATAACTTTATTAACTTTTTATTATTTATAACCTAATAAATTAATTTTTCAGGTTATAAATTATTTTCAGATAAAAAATTTCTCAAGTAAATTAAAATTATAAATAATTTTAATACAGTAGAACCTCGATTATCTGGACTAATTGGGGATAAAGGTAGTCCGGATAATCAAAACAAATACTTTAATTTGTCTTTTAATGATAACACACGTTTTCTTTTCGATGACATATCGGTAATATTAAAAATAAATACTGTATTTAAATCGTGATCAAATTTTTAAGAAACAAACGTTCGTATTGAATTTGGACTACTACAGACCAGCGCTAACAGACTACCTATTGTTTAAAAGGCCCTCTGGTGACGCAAGAAGACAAATTTTATAAAATAAAAAGCAGTTGAAACTGCATTTTTACGAATAAAAATTTGACAAACTATTTATCGTTTTATGACGAGTAAAATTTTTTCGTCGCATTCGCGGCTTTTAAGTAATGCATAAACCTTTGAGGCGCAAGGCCCTTCGGACCACGAGGCATAGGCGGTGGCCCACGTTGCCCATACGCCGCCCTTGGTCATAGAAATGATATAATTTGAATATAAATTATTTATAAATACGTATGTCAAGTTATATTTTTATTAC